CCAAAAAAAAAAAAACAAAACAAAAAAGCATATCAATGTCTGATCAGCTTGCATCAATTCCAGCTTACCCTGAAAAGCTTTCCCAGCTCCTATAGCCCAGTACAATATCCATTTCACTGAGAGTTCACTCGTTTACTTATTTAGAACTGTTAAGCACATACTATATGAAAACTATGATGGCAGGCTTTGAAAATGGAAAGTTGAATCAGACATAAATCTGTCCACAAATCACAGTTGTGCTCTACAGAGAAATAACCATGCAGAAGGGTAAAAGAGATAAGAGTTAAGAAGTGTACAATGAAAGTGTACACAGAAGTTTAGAGAAAAGGAGTTTGTGGAGAACCATGAAAACCTCTAGGGAGAAGGAACACTTCAGTTCAGTCAAAGCATTTGAGAACTTAATAAGAGGAACATTTCAGACAGAATCAACAGTTTCAGCAAACAGGTGGTATGAAATCAACAAGTGAAAATTTACAATTTCAGTTCAACTGAATTGAAGCAGGCAAATAGGATACAGTTTAGTTATCCTTTAATTATTTTATATGTATGGCAGCTGCTTTACTCCAAATATTAATATGTCAACTTGTATAGTATTTATTGAATAAGTTAGAGATATATGATTAGGACACATAGGGTAACACAGGAATCACTGATTCCAAAACTTTCAGGACCTTACTGTGAATGTCCCACCCATCCAGGGACCCCTACACAGCAGACAGCCACAACATTATGGAGATCTAATTTGGGACTCTGGCACAGAGGTCTTTGGCAGCTATTCCTGTGTGTCTATAGCTGTTCGTCTGCTTTATAACTGCATACAAAAAATGAAGCTGTCTCAGAAAGGTCACAGTTGCAGGGTCTAGGTGCTGGTTGAGAGCCAGAGGTGGAAAATATGCTCTTTTGAATCTGAATGTATCCAGAGCAGCTCCAGAGAGAACTGCAAAATAACGTGGAATTTTTTGAGGGAACTTTTTAATTGGACACATTTCTAAACAGAGAAATATTAATAGTTAACATATATCCTTCCAAAAAGCACAGAACATTTGAGATGGTGTCTTTATTGATATTGTTCTTTACTACTTATGCTATCAAGGATGTGCAATTACATAGGCACCAATAATGGCTTCTGAATTGAGTTAGTTCTGCTGCCTCATTGTATAGTGCCTCAACAGCTTTCAGAATATTGTGAGAATCCTTCTGTCAGTGACAAAATACATTCTAGAATTCAAGGAGCATAACCTCTACACTGGTATTTTTCCTAAGACTCTAAGCAACTTGCATTTCAGCACCACCCATCTCCAACTACCTCTGAAAGAAAAAATCTTTAAGAATCATCTTAGTGCTTCCTCTGTCATCCTTTGTTTATATGACATGAACAAGCAGATATTTACTGCCTCCAATATCATTTCTATGGCAAAACTAAGAGGGATTTTGGCTCACATAAATATATGAGTGTTTGCTTCATATATTTGCTGACCATTTTTATGTCTTTATTTGAGAACTATCTGTTCAAATCATTTGTCTCCTTTTAAAACAGACGTCATTTTCATTGTTGTTGTGCTGTTTTAGTTTTGCTTTGGGGTTTTTTGCTTTTTTTGTTTGTTTTTGCTTGATTGGTTGCTCTTGTTTCCTTCTGCTTGACCTTAAATATTCTGGCTATTAATCCCTTGTCGGATGAAAGGTTTACAAATATTTCTCTCATTCTGCTCTTTGTCTCTTTTGCTCTTGATAGTTTCTTTTTCTGTGAAAAAAGCTTCTTATTTAATATAATCTCATTTGTCAACTTTTGCTTTTTTTGCTTGTACTTTAGGGTCTTATCCAAAAACTCTTTACCTATACAAATATCTTGAGGTATTTCCCCTGTGATTTTTGTAGTAATTATAATTTCAGGTGTTACATTCATTTTAAGTTTGATTCATTTTAAGTTGATCTCTGGTGAGAGGTAGGGATGTAGCTTTGTTCTTCCATATAGTTATGATAGATTTTCTAATGCCCTCCAGGTTTCAGGAAGTGTCTCTTGGGGATGTAGTTAGAAGCAGTCATCTTGAACTGGCCTGACTAGTGGACAAATTACATGTCTCCTCCATACAGACCCTTTCCCTGATAACCTCTTAGTCGTTTAGGTGTTAGCAAAGGTAAAATGAGCTGGCACAGCAATAGCACTACTTTAAACAAAAAAGAAAATCAGACAACTTATAAGTACATCTAGAATTCATTCTAAACCTGATATCCAATTCAACAACAGAGAGAGTAGATAGTATCCAAGACCTAAAACAGCTTGGTCTTTGGACAGTATCTAAGAGCCAATGCCACTGGTTACACAGTATACTAGATACAGAGTGTAGTGAGTACACAGTTATGTGCACTGGTAAGGCTAATTTTTGGGTGAGATGATAATAAAATTATTTAGAAGGCACTAAACTGGCACAGTGGATTATAGCTGAATATTATCCTGGATGTGGGACCCTGAGAGTGACTCAGGGTCTACATTATTGAAGGAAAGCTGTGTCTTGGATTTAAAATAATTTATAAGAATTTGGAATCTATCTTCATTATCCCTACATCGTAGTATATACAGTTCTAGACATCATAACTTTTAATAAGTTACCTAAGGCAGTTCATTATATTCTTAAAACAATTTAAATACTTCTAGATACCAACAACGTTATCTGGTTACTATATTTTAAAGGATGCATCAAAAAGAAGAAAGTCAAAGAAAGGAATTTGTTTGATCAGCAGAGGGTAAATGTTCTGTAAACCCATCTTCTGATAAAGCATGCACATAAGGAATACAAAAAATCATTAGCTTTCACTGATGGCCACTTCATAGGCTGATTTTGGTGGAAACTGATAACTCAATTGTTTTATTATATTTTCAATAAAGAGGACATAATGGAGTGATTTGATATTATTCCTTCAGAGAGAATTGAGGAAATTCGTATAGCATACTAAACCTTTATTAATATACTGGGGAGAAACACCCCAAACCTGCTGGAGACACAAAGAGGCAGAGTCACTGAGCCACTACCCCAGTCCTAAGGACCTCTGGACTCTTACAAAGCCAGCACATATATACTGGATTATAAAAGTAATCCCATTCATTGTAGATCATTTGAAAGAAAAAGAAAATAAAAGTGAGGAAAAAGGAATTCAAAATGTCCCATGTTCTCACCAGTTGGAACTGCAAACATTTTCTTCCTGCCATTATTCTGGGTACCTGCCTATGTGGTTAGGGTATAGACTTACCTCATGCTGGCTTTAATTTTATATCAAAAGATATCATTTGTTGTGATCTGGGAATTTTAGATGTTATAGGTTATTACTTTTGATTTTCAAGAAATTTACTGACCTATGTGTAGCTACTTTTTAGCTTCTTTGCTAATTTCCTATTAATTCTGAGTTTCCTACCTTTTTCTCCTCTCTCATGTGTTTATTTATACAATTGTATTGTTTCTAAATTATTTGCTATTTCCTTTTTCCTTTTTTAATGTGTGTTTATTTTATTAGTACATATTTGTGGTACATAATGATTACAGTTGTCATGGAGAACTGGTCCATGTTCATAACATGTCTTAATTTTTCTTTCTTTTTTAAACCACCACCTACCCATTGCTCCTTCCTCCTTCCAACTCTTGGTCCTCTTCCCATTTGCAAAAGCTCTATTTTCCTCATTCTTTCCCTTTTTTTTGCTTCCTCTCCCTCCCTTCCCTACTCCCTCCATCTCTTGCCCCTCCATCCATTTGAAAAAGATCTCCATCATAAGCATCTTATGTCTCTTGCCTCACACTTTTACAATAATGAAAAATAAAGTAATGAAGGCCACTGCTTTCATTCTTTTTTATTTGAATGGAGTATCCGTACTACTTCGCCATTGTGAAGGATATAAGCCTGCAATAGACATATCCTCTCATACACTTGCGTACTCCCCATCCCTGTAATCACGAGTTTTGTTGTGGTCATTCTTTACTTTTTTGCTTTTCTTCTCTACATTACAAAATGTAGATACTTATGAATTGCCATTTAGAAAAATTTTCTTTTAAAATCCAACTAATATGTTCAGGATGCTAAATCATCCTTTTTTTTCTATACATCTGTTTAATTGTGGTGAGTTTTCTTTATTGTACTTAGGACTTTTGCATTAGTCTTGCCAAATAAGGGTTGTGAAGAATAATTCAATTTTAAAGTCATTCTTACGTTTTTATTATCAAAATTTCTCAATTTTAAAAAAGTGAAAGGGAAAATTTTCATTTTTTTCTAACCTAAGAAAGGTTTATATGGAAATTCTATTTATATTAACATGTTCACAATAATTTTTATATGAGAGAAATTAATTTGGAGCCTAAATGTGGATGCATATTTGTGAATATTTTTTTCTTCTTTTTCTAGTTGTAGCTGGTTTATTGTATTTGGGGGGTACCTCAAACAGAAGCAGATAGTATGATTATTCAAATTTATTTTTGGTCCGTGAATATCTGGATTTTTTGATTCATAATTTTGTATATCTTCACTTTTTTTCTTCCTTAGACTTGCCAGATTTTTAAATTTTATTTTATTTTATTTTATTTATAACAGATTTGGATGGATCTATGATCAGTTCCTATGTTGCTTTCTGCTTTGCTATCCATTTACTTTTACTTTCAGCATTATCTTATCTCCAACCTTCCTCATAGAGGCGCTTACTGGGAAGACCTCTCATTTATTGATTCTAGAGAATAAAGTAGGAAAAGATACAAAGTGTACAAGAGGAAATGAAGGAATTCCAAGGTAGTAGAAGGATCAGGCAAAGCACAGACAAGTCAGGTAAGGATACTGAGGTGAAGGCAGAGAGAGGGTTAATAATTGAGGTGTATGTAGCCTGAGGAGTGAGAAAATACCCACTAGAAAACATGGAAATTTACTCTGGGGCTTGACGTATGAAAGTAGGGTCATATATTTTTATTGAATAATTAAATCCTGAAGTCTGATCCCTTCCACTCTGGACTATCTCCTTACAGGGACTTATGGGAGCAGAATCTGGGGCCAATGGAACAGCCATTGCTGAGTTTATTCTGCTGGGCTTGGTGGAGACACCAGGGCTTAGACCAGTTGTTTTTGTGCTCTTCTTCTTTGCCTACTTGATCACAGTTGGGGGAAACCTCAGCATCCTGGCAGCTGTCTTGGTGGACCCCAAACTCCACACTCCCATGTACTTCTTCCTGGGGAACCTCTCAGTGCTGGATATTGGGTGCATCACTGTCACCATCCCCGCAATGTTGGGTCGTCTTGTGTCCCACAAGCGTACAATTCCATATGGAGCCTGCCTCACACAGCTCTTCTTCTTTCACCAGTTGGCTGGTGTAGACTGCTTCCTGTTGACAGCCATGGCCTATGACCGATTCCTGGCCATCTGCCGGCCCCTCAACTACAGCACCCGCATGAGCCAGCCAGTCCAGAGGATATTGGTGGCTGTGTCCTGGGTATGTTCCTTCACCAATGCACTAACCCATACTGTGGCCATATCCACACTCAACTTCTGTGGCCCCAATGTGATCAATCACTTCTACTGTGACCTCCCACAACTGTTCCAACTCTCCTGCTCTAGCACCCAACTCAACGAGCTGCTGCTTTTTGGTCTGGGGATCCTCATGGCTGGTGCACCTGTGATTCTCATTATCACCTCATACATCCATGTAGCAGTTGCAGTCCTGAGAATCCGCTCTACTGAAGGCAGGAAGAAGGCCTTCTCCACATGTGGCTCCCACCTCACTGTGGTGGGCATCTTCTATGGGACTGGTGTCTTCAGCTATATGAGGCTGGGTTCAGTGGAGGCTTCAGACAAGGACAAGGGCATTGGCATCCTCAACACTGTCATCAGCCCTTTGCTGAACCCACTAATCTACAGCCTTAGGAACCCTGATGTGCAGGGTGCCCTGCAGAGAGTGCTCACAGGAAAGCGAGCTATGGTGTGAAAGGTGTGTCAGCACGGCCAGAACCACACAGCAGCAGTGCCTGGCTCTCCTAGATCTCTCAGCAAGATGACTTTTGTTAGAAAGTAATACTCTTGCTTCCCAAAGAGACTCTACTTAATAGTAGTTATACACCTCCTGCAGAACACAGCTCTTGGCTATCCATTTGATCCTAGGAACACTTCCCAGTCCAGACTGAGATGGGACTGAGGAAGTGCCATATCCTGGGAGGCTCAGAGTCCTGCAGGAAGGGCCTCTCATTCATAGTTTTTGCTAAGATTCTCTACAAACTGGAAAATGAAAAGTCACAACCTCATGGAAAGAAGTGGCACCTCCCACCATCAGGCTTCCCTTGAGAGCAGCTCCCCCACCTGCTTTCACACTGAGTCCCACAAAATCACTCAGGAATTGCACAGCAAAACTGGGAACATTTGTTTCCAGTGCCCTGCTGACATTGCAAGTTTCTAGAATACTTAAAAATAATGCAGAATGAACACTTCTCATTTCTAAAGTATAACTATGTATTGATTTTTAATTAAAAAATGTATTTATAAAAATAAAAACAAAAACATTTTATCATAGAAAATTAAAGTCAATACTGTCATTCTTTTTATCCTTACTCATCATAATTTAACTCTAGGAAGTAATTACTACTAGTAATTTGCTGTTTTCTAGCTTTTTATAAATGTCTAAACATTTTTACAGAAACTTGTTTCTCTATTTTTCTACCAGTATAAACAAGTTGTATATTTCATATCAATAGGAGGGTTATGACAGTTTTTTGTTTATACAGTACATGGTAGGCAGATTCTTTTACCTGTTAAATATCTAAAAACTTCTATTAGTATTAGTTAATGTTTTCTAGCATAATTTATGACTAAATCATAATGTACTTAACCATGTACCTTTTCATGGGGTTCAAATTATTTTCAGCTTCACTATGTTCACAATCAATAATATCAAGAATATTTCTTATAGGTGTATTATTTTTCTGCAAGCATTTCCATAAGTTTTGATAAGTGAAATTATTGAGCAAAATGAAACAAAAATTTAGATTTAGATATATATTTTTCCTCTACAAAAGTGTGAACATTTTATTATTCCAGTGGTGAGTAATACTGCTTATTCTCCAAACATCTGATAACAGTGGATGTTATGAAAACCTCTCCTAATTTTTGACAGTGTAATGATTGAAAATTACTATTATTATGTTGATATGCATTTTTATGTTCACAGAGTTAAATATATTGTCAAATATTATCCATGATATGGGATGAGTTGTGTCTCTCTCAAATTTCATATGTGAACGCCTTCATCTCCAATGTGACTTATTTGGATATATGCTCTTGGTTTTCTCCTCTTCTCTCCTCTCCTCTTCTCTCCCTTACTCTTCTTCCTTCTTCTTTCTTCGTTCTTCTTCTTCCATCTTTTCTTGTTGTTGTTGCTGTTGCTGTTGTTGTTATTGTTGTTCTTCTTTCTTTTTCTTCTTCTTCTTCTTCGTCTTCTTCTTCTTCTTATTCTTATTCTTATTCTTATTCTTATTCTTATTCTTATTCTTTTGTTGTCCTCCTTCTTCTTTCTCCTCCTCCTTCTTTTTCTTTGTCTTCTTTCTTCCCTGTCCCTACTTTTTCCCTGCCTCATGAGCATGGAGTGAAAAGATGCCTATGTGGAAGCCAGGAAGAGAAGCTTCACCAGAATCGGACCATTCTGGAACAGGATCTTCAAATTCCAGCTTCCAGAATTGTGATCAAATACATTTCTATTTTTTAAGCCACCCAGACTATAGTACTATGCTATGGTAGCCTGCAAGGACTAATACAATTCACTTGTCTTTCTTCATTGGTAATTATCTTTTCATATATATTTCTCTCTTTCTACTGGATTGTTTCTCATGATGTATAGGAATTTTTATGCACTGTACATTTCAATTCTTTGGCATATATTTTGCAAATAATTCCACAGTTTCCCAATTTGCTATTTTTCTTTCACCTTTGTTTTATACACCTTCTGCCAATAGAAAGTTTTTCTATTTTTATGACAGCTTTCCTCACAAACAGAGTTAAATTCTTGGCAGTTAGAATAATAGAGACAAAAGAAAAAGAAGAATTAAGCTGGAGGTAGCAGCTGGCAGTCAAATTTAATGCTATGGCTGGGCGATAAGTGATGGAGCATGGTTGTTATTATTTGAAATACAAATGTTTTAAGATTACCCTCAGGACATAGCTCCTGGTATACTAGAACAATGGCCGTCAGTGCAGAACCTAAAAGTACACTGTTTGGGCAAAGGGCCTGATGAAAACAGGGTGACAGTAAGATGTAAGGCATAGTTGCTGAGATTAGGTACTTATAAGTAGACAAACACAAGCTTGAACACCTACTCCCCAAATTCCTATGTGTCTTTAGACAAATGACTGAGTTACTTTGAATCTCCAGTTATTTATATGTAAAATGGGGAAAATATAGGTACCTACCTCAGAGAATTGGTGAAAGGGTTGATTGGGATTTAATGTATCTAAAGCTCATGGAACAGTGCCATATCCTCAGGAAATACAAAATAAGAGCGATCAGTTATAAGTAAAGAATGTTACAGGTGGCCCCCTGCCAAGAATTCTGTTTGTTACTCCACTTCATTCTCCCATCAACTGTAAGAGGGTACATTGCACACACTTTACAATGAAGAAACTGAGGCACACAGGATTTTAGCATTTGCTAATAAATGGAAGGAAGACCTCCTCATCTACAAAGCCCAGCTGGCTTCCAGCACAGAACATGCTGTCACGTAGGGCTCACTGAATAATTACTTGTCAGGAGAGGGCAGGAGAGTCTGAGGGCTGTAGCACATAATGGGTTCCAACTTTCTGTCTTTCCTCATTACTATCAATAGACTCTAAATTTCTAAGAGCCTGGCCTGAAAATCACAGTAGGAAGCAACTTTAAAGCCCTTCCCCCTTTCCTAACAGCACAATGCTTCTTCCCCTTCAGGATCACTATGAGACTCCTGAGACAGCATCCCTCTAATTCTCACTAACAAGGCCCTGGGTGGGAACTTGCTTGTGGACTCATTAAGAAGGTGAAGTTGGAAGGTGTCTCCCCATTTTTGGCTCCTTTCCAGGGTTCTCCCCTCATCCCCAGATCGAACTTAGGCTTCTGCCTCATCCTTAGGTTTAGGAATCAGCCTGCCTCAGCCCCTAAATCCTGTTGCAAACAGGCATCTCAGGGAACAATATCCTCAATCTCAGAATCCAGATTCAGTTCTGGCTCCTCCTCTGGTTCTCTTGGGTGACTTGGGAAAACAGACAGTTTCTCTAGGTCCCTACTGGTTAAACTGAGTTTTTGCAATATCTCCCTTTACAATCCCCATAGATTAATAATGAGGAGGTGGAGACAAGACTTTGCAGAAATCCTAAATTCCCCAAGGTGCAACCCCACTGCTTCACTACTGCAGTATTTACTAAGGCTTATATTATTGACCCGACTTTGGCCCTCCCCTCAGCCACCTCCTCCTTCATGGGACTATTTTCAAGGTCCCAGAAGGCTGAGACTACGATGGAAAAAACCACCTGACATATATGGTCTCAGACTCACTTTATTTCTGTTCCACATATGCAGCCACATATTGCTTTCAGGGTGGCCGACTGAGTTGTGCAGTTTCTTGCCCCTTCACATCCCTTTCCAGGAAACCTCACTGGCCTCGGCGCCATCACAAGGTGAGTTCTTTTAGGGTCCTCCCCCACCCCCCACGCCACAGGAAAGAGACGCTAGCTTTCCTCAGTGAGTCAGTTCTCCTCATTCTACAGATGTAAGAATCAAAGTCTCAATAGCAAAAGAAGAGACCTGCTCAGGATGACTTCAAACAGGTTAAAGATCTGAGTCTCTCACCCACTGAGGCTCCTTCTCCAGGCAACTTGTCAATCCCATCTTTTTTGGTGGAAGTTTCTTTCCAGATCCTGTTAGGAGCTATGGAGGGAGATTCAGTTTCCCTGCCTTTAACACAATCCTCAGAAAGCAGCCAGGTTGGGCCCCCAGACCAGCCTTGATGCATGAAGGACCTCTGGGAGACTCAAAGAGTGGTGTGGTTGCAGCATAATGAAGGAATCCTGGGGCTCGGGTGAGCCCTCAAGAATGGTACTGTAGGTGGGTCTCATCCGTGACCACCCTGGTGATCCTATCATTTCAGACAGCCTGGGTAGAGGGCCCAGTACACAGCACAGAGATCTTACATATGCTTTGTTTCCTGTTGATTGAGTGTTAGGGCTACCATTTTGGCCATAATTTTAAAGACTGTTTCTTCTGATGGCAAAAAATATTTTTGATGTTTATATAAAAATCTTATGTCCAAGTATGGATTGCTACACCTGCATGACCCATCTAGACAAATAGAAGAGTCATCCCCACAGCAGTAACCTGTGCCTTTCACTCATCCCCCTCCTCAAAGCACGCCAATCCTTCAGTCTAGCACAAATTCCACCTTGCCCAAAATAACCTTTCCTAGTTCCTATTAGTCATAGTGATGCCTCTTTGTCAGAAATTCTTTTTGTTAACCAGTGCAGCCATGCATGTATTTACAAAATGGTACATACATGAAACAGGCTGAGGTATACAGTTCCTAAAGATGAATCAGACATGAATGTTGTCCTGAAACTGGGATGCCTAGGCTAAATAGCTAAATGATTATGCTAGGAGACAAGTGCCAAGTAGAATAAATTATAAGGTGTATTTAGAATACTGAACACACAAATGTCTCTTCAAAATGGATGCAG